TGTTCGAAGTGTTCCAGCAAGCCTCGCCTGAAAAAGACCGTGGATCGGCGAAGAAGGAGAATGCTAGCGTGGAAACGTCGTCGAAGAAGTCTAATTCTCGCGTGGAAACGCCGTCGGAGAAGGCTGAGGAAACGTGGATGGACGTACAGCGGCGTCAAGACAGCCGTCGATCGTATTCTCGGATGGAAAATGTGGGACGATGATGGCGGGAAAACGGCGGAGTCTGAGAAACGAGCGGTGTTCCAGGTTTCCTTGCAGCCAGACACGAGCTCGAACAAGAAGACGGGCTGCAAGAGGATTCTCCTGCTGCAGAGGGACTCGTAGAATCCCTCGCCGTTTCAAAAATTTCAAAACTCTCAAACAAATTCCGCGAGAATTCCTTTTACTTAACCTTCTGAACGGATTGAAGGAATTACTACGTTTCACCAAGACGTTTTGCAAGACTTTCACACCATAATTAGCTGGTAATTTCATCACCGGAGTGAAAAAGTCGTGGGCATCTAGAAACTTCCAGCGAGGTCCTTCTGTATCGAGGCCGTTTTGTATACCTGTTAGTATCGTTCGACGATTAAAAGAAATGTTATGTGATATTCTGTTTAATATTAAAACACGATTCACATCAAAGTATCCAACGAAGATTTGGAGATAGACGCTTCGTAACGTTCGCGAGCGGAAGTGAGCGTTGCTGTTTCCTGTGAAACGTTTCATCGGGAGAACATACGAAATAAGCTGCAAAGATGAGGCGCTGAAACGAAATGTTGAAAAACTCGAGGAAAGAGATCGTCTCTGTTTTGACGTAGAGAGAGAGAGAGAAAGAGAGAGAGAAGATGAGATCTCGACTGAGGTGGATGAAGGTTTCTTGCGAGGCTAGAAATCATTTTATTTCGCGTTTCTGTTGGCTAATCCGGGATTTGTCACGCGCAGCCAGCGCCACCTGAGGCTCGTTTCAAACGGAGACGCGGAAGCTTTCGAAAAAGTTGCCGAAGCTCTCTAAATCCCCCGCGGTAGTCACTCAGTCTCAACGAAATCTGCTCGTTTCGGAGAGGCGTTTCGCCTTCATTCGGACTCTTTAATGAGCGAGGCTGGTTCTTTTCAGAAGCATGAAAGCTAGAAAAATACGATACCCGTGTTCTTTTGTCGAAGAACAAAGCACAGTTGTGAAGCGCGAAATATTTGAAATATCGCAAATTATTGCGATTTCGTCGGTATTTAAATTGTGTATGATCATTAAATTGTACGTTGGTAGTTAAATTGCGTGCAAATGTTTTCTTTGTGTCTAAAATATTCGATAACAATGGCGAATGTGATAAACAAATTGGTGGCGTTTTTTTTTTTTTT